AGATAAGTCCAAGTCCTACAGGTCGTCTAGCTGGGTTGAGCAGGTTCATCGTCCAGTCCACAGAAAAGAGCTATCCGTTCTATAGCGCATTTAGGAAGGGGTTGAGATTTGAGTGGACGCCCTAAGCCCAACAAGCTTTTGACCAGCTCACGGAACTTTTGGCAGAGTTGCCACTGCTCACCAAACCAGAGCTTAAAGACGAGCTAGTGTTATACTTGTCAATAGGCAAAGCGGCTTTTAGTTCGATCTTGCTAAAACAAAAAGGAGGTCAGCAAAAGCCAATATATTATACCAGTTGAGTATTGCAAGGTGTAGAATAGAGTTATGTAGAGGTCGAGAAGGCGAATTAGCATTTATATCTATGACTCGTAAGTTGCAGCCTTACTTTTTGGCCCACAAGGTCATAGTCCGGACTAATTATGCAATGATGGATACCATATCGACCTTCGACCTCAGAAAGTATGGTGAAGTGGGTTGTGGTGCTGGGACAGTAAAACATGAAGTTCGAGGTCAGGAGAGCTATACAAGAGTGTACAGTGGAAAAGAAAGTCGGCCAATGGCTGGTTTATGTTAGCTCCTCAACTCGCGGAAGGGCAGAAGCATGGGTGTTGATTGTAACACCAGAGCAACAACACCTCGAGTTTTCCATCAAGCTATCTTTCACGGCCTCGTGAGAAAAAATACGAAGTACTGTTGAAGGGAATTCAGCACGTCACCAATAAAAGAACCCAGCTGGTAATTTTTCATTATGATTCCCAGCTTCTGGTCAAGCAGGTTAAGGGAGAGTGTGAGGCTAAAGAGGAAATGATGTAGAAGTACGTGGCCAAACTGAAGCCATTGCTTAAATGGTTCCCAACATGGCAGCTGCTGGAGATACCTCGAGGGATAAATAGCAGAGTTGACTTACTATCAAAGATTACGGCTTGATTAGTTGACTGTAGGTCTAGGTTGGTTACATTGATAGAAATGAGCTTAAGTACATTAGATCAGAAGCTTGCAGAACAAGAAGATTGGAGATCGTCGCTGGTTAGGTGGCTCTAGAACCCAGTAATAAATCAAGACCTACGAGGAGATCCAGTGGCGATGAGAGCTATGGGTTTCTTCTTGTAAAGTGGTACATAATACAAGAGGTCGTGCGTAGGTCCACACCTACGATATGTGTCCGATCATTAAGAAGAATATGTCCTTAAGGAAGTCCACGGAGGATGGTGTTGAGGTCACATAAAAGAAAGAGCTCCAGTAGGAAAAGTATTGTGAGGGGCTACTTTTGGCCCAAGATGAGGACTATGGCTCGAGAGCTCGTAGAGAAATGTCTACAGTTGCAGCTTCATGGACCCTTGATTCACTGACCTGCCGAAAGAAATGATCCCCATGAGCTCACCGTTATATTTTGACTAGTGGGAGATGGACATAGTGGGCCCTTTTCACAAGCCACATGAAACAGAAAATTCTTCTTAGTCGCAATCGATTATTTAAGCAACTTGCCACCAACCCGATGTTGGTATCTAAACACTAAAATCCCAAACTTTTTCGCATCATTTCGCTCGACCATCTGAATCTCCTCAACCTCCTCTCTCGGCTGAATGTCCATCTTTTTCTTTTCATTTTTAGACCTTGACCTATTCGGACTACTCACCTCGTCTTCCTTTGGGGCATTCAACCTCCTCGCATACTGCTTATTCACTCCAAATGTGGTCTGATAACTCGTCTTCGACGACAATTGATCTCCTATGACCTCCCCCACTCTCTTTCCAACTGGATACTTGATCGTCATATGGTACGTCCAAACCACCACCTGAAAGGCATTCAGGCTCGTTCTCCCCATAATGATGTTATACGACAACTCAGATCCCACGACCATAAACCTGTCCATTTTCAACATCCTCAGCAGACCCATCCCCAGGACAACTAGCAGAGTTTTCTCGCCAGTAGGGATGACCTCGCTACCATTAAATCTACATAGAGATGTAATGACCTCCTTCAACTCCACATCCAAATCTAATTGTCTAAACCAATCATAGAACACTTACCTTGGAATTACATCTTTAATTACCAATGCATGGGGCAGTTGCAACCCCTAGGCATCCTCTGCTCGAAAACTTATCACAGGTGTTCGAGTTGTTATGTTGACTTCTTCCCTCTTTCTCTTTGCATCTTGAACGTGCTTCTTCCTTGCATTAGTGGAGTCCCCATTAGTGGGACCTCCAGAGATCATGCGAATGACCTCTTCTTAGGCGGGGCCTCATCCTCCTCAAAGACTCGGTCTTCTCCTTTACGACCTCTTTTACCTTCACCTCTTCGACCACCTTCATCCTCATGATCCTCTCTTTCCTCATCCACATCCCGATCATCCTTGTCATCCTCGTCGTCTTGACACCTCCTTTTTTCTTTGTACATTTTTTTGTCCTGCTATACGAACTCCATAAGATGACTAGCTCGAATCAACCTATCGATCTCATCCTTTAAATGTTTGGAGTTGTCTGGTGTGTAGCCATAATCCATGTAGAACTTGCAGTATCGACCCGACTTAGGCTGCATTGGCCCGTCCCTTCTAGACTTCTGACATGTCACTGCTTGTCTCAGTTCTTAATGGTGTATATATGTACCTATGACTGTTCTTCAGAGGTCAATCTTGCCATCCATCCTCCCGCCTTTGCTCTGACCTGTCTTTCTTGGGTTAATGTTGCCTCTCCTTCTTTAGTTCAGGCCGAGCCAGCTGCTCGAGCTCTGTAGATTCCTATTCTGTTTCCTCCATATTGACATACTTTTTACATCTCTTCAAGACCTTATCATATGTTGAAGCTGGTGTCTTGGCCAAAGAACGCCGACATGGGCCAGCTCGAATACTCCTTATCAACCCTCCAACGTTGACCTCGTCTGAGGTCGAGGGGATCTCCACACATGCCTGATTACACTTCACCATATAGTTTCTGAACAACTCACCCTCTCCTTGCCTCATCGCCATCAATGATAAGTACGACTTCTCTTGCACGATCGCACTAGCATACTTGTTCAAGAACAAGCTCAAAAAATCCTCAAAATCCCTCACCAACCCCGGGGGGAGCTAGTGAAACCAATCATGAGCTTCTCCTTGTAACGTGGCCAATAAAGCTCGACAACATACTATGATGGAATACTCGTTTAAGGTCGCCATATTCTCGAATGACCTGACATGCCTGGATGGGTCGCTCGACTCTTCATATGTTAAGTTCACTTTCTTAAAATTTATTGGCAGCACGGCATGAAGGATTTCCCTAGAAAAGGGTTGTTTTCAAGCTCGACCAGCAGGTTTTCCGTCAATTATGCTGTAATAGGTGGATTTGCTCCGCCATCCTCTCCACAGCTCGATCTTTGTGGGCACCATTGCCTCGACTGCTTGACTCGTCCATTTCGGTCTCCTACTGGTTCATCCCTACCACCGTGGTCGGGTGGTTTCATGAGACATCTAGTGGGTGGCTTGCTAGACTACTCCAGCCGCAATGGCGTTAGCTATCATCCTTTTCAGCTCTCTCCTCATCACCATCACGAGCTCCCCTCCCTCGGCCTTACCTCCTAATGGCCCCACTGGTGGCGGCGGAACCGAATGTGGCTGCATATTCGCTGGAACCACCACTCCTTGCACTGCTCGATCTTTCTGCACATGGCTCGAGCCCGCAATAGCGATTGGGACCGGCGATGAACTCGCTACGCCTGTGGGATGGGGCGTCAGGGTCTGAGAAGATCTGAAGAAGCCCGACGGTGGTCCTGCTCCGAACGGGTGTGTGTTCGGCAACACGTCATCAAATGTCTGCTCCAAGTTCTTCCTGGGAATCTCACCGACCATGGCTATAGTGTTTGTTGGCTTTTCTAACGTAGGTTCCACAGACGGCGCCAAAATGGTACACAAAAGACCTCCGACTAGGTGGAAATTGGTCTGACTCGAGCTCCTCGCCGGTTGAACGCCTTGAGATATGCACAAACTCTCACACCAGAGGGATTTTCAGTGAAGAACCTCCAATGCTTAATTTAGCACTCTGAAGAAGATAAGTGTTGTATGTGTGTCTAGAATAATGGAGAATGTAATGTTATAATGGGCATGCCTCACTCTCTTTTACAGGGAGATAATTCCTTGTTGCCCGAGAGGGCTGCCAGAACTGCCCATTCATTCTTCACGAATTGCCCAATTCTGTTAGGCCACGTGGCCCTATCCACGTGTGGCTTTTGTGCCATTAAGATTCTTTCTCATTCTTTAGTCTTTCTTATTAGACCACCTAATAGTGCGACTAACTTGAATCATGTCTAGGGTAGAACACTGCATGTAACGACCCTAAGTGTTGTCCTTTGGTCATTCGCTTGATCAACCGTACCTTTAGGTCGAGTTTATAGCATGTCATCCAAGGGCCCTAGTTCGGCCTATTATTGGTCCTTTGAACCCCTCATGCCTTTTTCCACTTGAAGACTCCTTGCTTCATCCTGGCTTTTGACCTCTGTTCGGCCCTCCTACGGCTCTATTTGACCATCTGACTCGTTCAACTTAATCGGCTAATTTATTAGGTTTGCTCTTCCCGATATGGTATCTCATATCACATATACATAATGAGAGATGATTCTACTATTTTCCGTCAATTTAAGTTAAAATAATTGCCAAGGTATTAAGAATGATAGTTTGTACTTTATATTGCTAGCTATGTAACAGGTATGCCAACTCTATATCCTTTTGCCGAACCCTGTTTCATTAGGACATGAGTGACATGCCACCTGGAAATCTAAACTATAAATTCCTCAGGCTACTTGAGTTCACTTTGCTTGTTAATTTCCACCATACGTACCTGCTCAACCATGCATACACCATTCATGGACTACTTTTATCTCCACCCGAACTCCATGGCCATAGCTTTCTTCATCACAAAATTATCCATTCTTTTATTCTGAAATTTTACCCGAAAATCGAATGTTAAATGGAATAAGAACTATCATCCTATAGGGGGCACCACATTTAACTAGTTGATCAATTTCTACAGGCTACATGATTACATGGCTGATCTTGCAAGCAAGTATAAGACTTACCGAATAATCACCCCTTTCCGGAACAAAATCTTCACATCTGACCCAGCTAACATCGAGCATATACTCAAAACTAATTTTCAGAATTATGGCAAGGTCACTCATATATATATATATATGTATTCACAAGTACTGTTTGTGTTCAGCTCTACCATGTTGAATGACATGTTTCTCTAATTCGAATATGCTAAATGTAAAGTAGAATATATGAATTGCTCGTTGTTTGTTAAACTCTGTTTACTTTAATGAAAATGCATTTCTAAAAACTGTTTTTCGGTCTAATGGAACTCTATATCTTTGGCAATCGGTCGTTGAAATTTACCAGCAATGATTTTCTCTTGTAGAAAATTGGAATCCTTTGCTAGACCAATATCAATAGATCTAAAGCTCCAATGGATAATCAGGAGATACTTTGGTTTTATAAAAAAAACGTGTTTTATTTCTTTTCATGAAAATCAACGTCAACATCCCCGGTTGACCATCCGCAACAAAGGTCAATTAATGAAAAGCATCAAATTGATCAACAGATGAAATTTATGGTACAAAAGTTGATTAAACTAAAACTTGAGGTATCAAAAATGAAAATGAGGTTAAACTTGATACACGCAGAATTTTTTTTTCTTTTCCCTTAAGCTCTTAGGCTCATCAGCTTGAATCAGTAGCTTATGCCTAACTCTAGACAAGCTTTTATTGGTACATCACTTCTCTAACGGTGATAGAGTGAAAGATAAAATTGCACATTTTTAACGTCACAATTTTTTTTGGCAGTCATTAACACATCATAGCTTTTACCAAATTGCACATTTTGTTAGGCCTATTTTGTAACGTGATTGATAATATAAACTAATTGAATTATCAGGGATGGTACAATTACTGTATCTTAAAAGATTTACTGGGCGAAGGCATTTTCACGGTTGATGGCGAAAAGTGAAAGTGTCGAGCCTGGAATTTTCAACCAGGGCTCTAAGGGATATTAGCAGCACAGTTTTCAAAGAAAATGGCATTAAACTTGCCAACATTATTTCTCAAGCTGTGACTTCTAATCAACCAATGGATATCCAAGTGAACATCACTAAATAACTACATATATAGGCCAAATTAAACTTCTCTTTCTTTTTCTTTTTTTTTTCTCTCTCACTAAGATTTAATCTCTTTGAATTTACTTTAATATTTGCAGAACCTTTTCATGAAATCAACTATGGATTCAATATCTATGGTTGCATTTGGGGTCGAGCTGGACAGCTTGAGTGGTTTAAATGAGGAAGGTTCTAAATTTTGTCGTTTTTGATGATGCAAGCACGAATATGACTTAGAGATATGTCGAAATTACGTGGAAGATAAAGAAGGCTTTGAACATTGGTTCGGAGGCAAAATTGAAGAAGAATATCGGGATTATTGACAAGTTCGTTTATAAGCTCATACATAGCAAGACGGCAGAAATGGAACAAGTTCAAGATGATCATGTAGGTGAACCATGTTTCTTTGTTGTAATAAATCGCTTCATTTGACATATCTGTTTTCTCTCTTTATTACAGTCGGATTTGAAGAAAAAAGACATACGTACAAGATTTCTAAAGTTACTGAGAGCCGATCCAAAGTATTGAGAGATATAATACTCAGCTTCGTAATTGCCGGTAAAGACACAACAGCATCAACCCTGTCCTGGTTTTTCTACATGCTCTGCAAGCATCCTCTCGTTCAAGAAAAGGCATCCCGAGAAATTAAACGAGCAGTGGCCTCACTCAATTATGAGCAAACCAATTTTTTTATTCTTTTTTCTTTTCAAAACCAAATCTAACCTGTATCAAAATAATTGTTTAAAATGGTTAACCGGATTATTTAAATATTCAAACAATATAAATATAATTTGTATGGCATGTGATTATCTAGAAATGGATTAAAGAACTTGAGGAATACAAAAATAAAAAAGTCGAGACACGTAATAATTACATTTTTCTTTGGACGAAATTGTCCGTAAAATGTCCACGATTAATGACAAACGTGTTAGCGTGAATATACTTATGTATATTTGTTAAAATATCAACACCTCCTTTTGGGAAGGACCCAAAAGTATCTAGAACAATTCGGAAAAATGTGGAACGTTGTGGAATATTGTGGAAGGTTCCGAAAGCATCTAGAACGACCAGGAAAAATGTGGAAGGTTCCGGAATATTGTAGAAGGATCTAGAAGCATGTGGAACCTTTGAGAGTAATGAGGAGTCTTCTAGAGCCTTCTCAAATATTGTCGAGAGTTTTAGTAGGGATATGTGTGTAGAAGTTTTGTAGAAGTATCTAGAATGCTCAAGATATTATATGCTCTAGAGAATTCATTAAAGGAGGTGGTGGCTATAAATAGAGGAGACCACCTCATTTGCAAATCATCCCAATAATCCAAGCATCCAAGAGTCTAAGTAAAAGAGTGTGTGAGTATCATAGTTAGTGTGTTTTGGTCTTGATAAGTGAAGTATTGTATCTTGGTCCATGTTGTGCTTGTAATATTACTTTGATAATCTAATAAAGTAATTACGTTAGTGTCCACGTGTTGTGAGTGTACCCAACCCAGCAAGTGGTATCAGAGCCAGGAGAGCGCGGTATGAGGTACGAGTTGTGGTGTCAAGCTTCTCGTAGTTTGGCAGTTTCGTATTGCGAAGTTCGTGTGCAGTTTAGTACTGCAGAGTGTGTGGCAAGTTGATCGGGTGGAGCCACGATGGGAGATCTTCAAGTGGTCGGAGGTATCAAGAAGCTTAACAGTCAAAATTATAGCACGTGGTCGACATACATGGAGTCATATTTGCAAGGCCAAGATTTGTGGGAGATTGTGAGTGGTAGTGAGGTTATACCACCGGAGGACTCTGCAGCTTTGAAGAAATGGAAGGTTAAAGTTGGTAAGCCCATGTTCGCTATCAGACCATGATCGAGGAGGAGATGCATTATAGACGCGAAGACACCGAAGGATGCATGGGACACATTCGCGGGGTTGTTCTCGAAGAGGAATGACGCGAGGTTGCAACTTTTGGAGAACGAGCTCCTCTTCATCTCGCAACGAGACATGACGATAAACCAATATTTTGCTAAGGTAAAGTCTCTTTGTCGTGAAATCTCTAATTTAGATTCTTCTGCTGGTATGTCGGATTCTCGGATAAGGAGAATAATCATTCATGGATTGAGGCAAGAATATAGAAGTTTTATTGCTGTCGTGCAAGGTTGGCCAACCCAACCTTCTCTCGTAGAGTTGGAAAATTTGTTAGCTGACCAAGAAGCGTTAGCTAAGCAAATGTTCCAAGCCTCATCCAAGAATGATGAAGAATTACTTTTCATAAAAAATATCAAAGTTCGATACAATAAAAATTGTCATTGGAGGAAAAGAAACGACGATGATAAAAATGAAGACGGGAGGAGTGCTCATTTAGGGGGAGCACAAAGGAAAGAAAATTTGAGCGGTCAACCTCTAGAAAGTAGAAGATTTGAAGGAAAATGCTATAATTGTGGAAAGAAAGGCCACATAGTGAGGAATTGTTGGTCGAGGAAAAAGCCAGCAGAAGGAAATGCAGTAACATCGGATGAGTCACACAAAAGTGAAGACGAATGGGACCTTGAAGCATTGTCAGCCGTAATTGGAGAAGAAGAAGCTGGTGAAGAAGTCGAGATGGCTTTAACGGCAATGGTTGCTGAGCTTGTCGACTCAGATAATGAGTGGATAGATAACCTTGGAAGCTCAAGTAATGAAACAGGAGATATGAAAGAGTTACCAGATTCGACAGAATATAGTGAAGAGCGTCCGAGGACAATTGACAACTTGATGCTGCCAATCTCCGACAGTGGTGAAAAAGAATCGACTAAGGAAGATAGAGTTGAAGACAAGCTAACAAGTCACGGGCAAGTCAACAAGGATTGGATAAGAGTAGAAGATCAGTCAAGTGTCAAGAGCCCATAAGCCCATAAATCAGCGAAAGTACGAGTACCAAGCCCAAAGCACACGAGAAAAATATTTACAGGCTCAAACTTATGTGAAGATGCGTTTCTCAACGTAAGGTGGCCGATAACAACGAACGAGCAAAAGTCGGTGTGGGGGAGTGTTAAAATATCAACACCTCATTTTGGGAAGGACCCAAAAGTATCAAGAACAATCCGAAAAAATGTGGAAGGTTCCGCAATATTGTAGAAGGATCTAGAAGCATGTGGAACCTTTGAAAGTAATGAGGAGTCTTCTAGAGCCTTCTCAAATATTGTAGAGAGTTTTAGTAGGGATATGTGTGTAGGAGTTTTGTAGAAGTATCTAGAATGCCCAAGATATTATATGCTTTAGAGAATTCATCAGAGGAGGTGGTGGCTATAAAGAGAGGAGACTACCTCATTTGCAAATCATCCCAATAATCCAAGCATCCAAGAGTCTAAGTAAAAGAGTGTGTGAGTATCATAGTTAGTGTGTTTTGGTCTTGATAAGTGAAGTATTATATCTTGGTCCATATTGTTCTTGTGTAATTACATTGTTAATCTAATAAAATAATTACGTTATTGTCCAAGTGTCATGAGTGTACCCAACTCAATAATATTATCTTGTACATTATTTAGGAGATGATTAGGGATATTTAGTATCATGTGATTAGTTAGTTTCCTTAGTTTTTTTGTGTCCTATTGTAATATATATTTTGGCTATTCAGTTTTTCTAATCATCACGGTTTAGAGGAATCATTTCCAAAACAATTCTCTTGTCATATCATTAGAGCCATCTTTCTTTCTCGTCTAATTTTTTGTTTTTGTTTTTGTTTTCTTATTTCTTTTTTTTTTCCTCTTCTCACATTCGGTTTTTCTGATGGTTGATCACCGGCCGACACAAGGCGTCGAGGTTGTCGTCCGTCGATCTATTTTCCCCTATGATATTTCCACTTCCGACAACTCCAGTTTACTGATCACCCATGTTAAGTTGAAAGGTGATACCATTTATGATGAATGGGCTCGTAGTCCGCGGACGACCCTTGGTGCTCGAAAAAAGTTCGGCTTTCTTGACGACTCGATCCCTCGTCCTCAGTCGGGGATGGATCTTTACGATCATTGACTTGCAAACAACCATTCTTTCCTTTGTTGAGTCATGAATAGCATCGATCAAACTGATTGATCGACGATTTCTCAACTCGGCTTCGTTCCTGATCTATAGACGGCCCTTCGAGAACAATATACCACTGTCAATGAGCCCCGAATTCAACAACTCAAGGTCGATCTGTCTGGGTGAAAATAAGCAAGAAACAACATCAAGAATCATTATGGACGGATGAGAATCTTTGGGACGAACTCGCTGGCTACGAGCGGTCTCCGGTTTGGAGCTGCAGTTGTTGCATCTACAATCTTCAATCTAAAAGGGATCACCGCTAAGAAGAGAGACATGTTCATCAATTTTTTATAGGTTTCAACGACACCCTGTATGGAGCGTTGCGATCCCATGTTTTGGCCCTTTATTCAATGTCGAATCTTCATTGAGTCTACTCTATGATGATTCGCGAAGAGCATAACGAGCACACCTTGATCGAGGCTTCCAGTGTTGCCGCCAAGACCGAGCTTGCCGATGTGTTAGGTATTGCACCTATGCAAAACTCGACAACTCTCGGCTCTGCAAACTCCAGCGGCCTCACTGCTAGCATGCCCCCTGCTTCGTTTGTTGTGGCGTAGTATGGTCGACGAGCGCTCGATGAAAAATTTAACTTCCATCAGCTGCGACAAGACGACGTATATTGCGGTTAAGTGCTTCGAAGTGATCGGCTACCCCGAATGGTGGGGCTCCAGCGACGGCAGGCGTGAAGAATGAACATGTTTGGGCGGCGTGTAATATCCCTCTCAGTTATTAAGAACGTAACAATTTTAGTTCCAAAATTTAGGTAATTTCGAGACCAAGATATGCAGTTATTGGTTCGAAATTAAGAGTTGATCAAGGAACTAGCCACACGAGTCGTGTGAAGCCAAACGAGTCGTGTGAGAGGTCACACGAGTCGTGTGGGAGGTTAAAGTGATGAAAGTTAGCTTCGGCTATTTCACACGAGTCGTGTGACATAGCCACACGAGTCGTGTGGTGTAACACGAGTCGTGTGAGGTCACACTAGTCGTGTGACATGCCACACGAGTCGTGTTGCCGACAGTTTTGTATGATCATTGGGAGTCCGATTGTGATCTCTACCAAAGGCTATTTTTGATGATTATTTAAGTTTTTGATGCGTAGACAAGTTAAGCATAAAATAGTTTATGATTAAATAAGTTTATAAGTTTAAATTAGTTATTATGATCATTTATTCACTCCATTATGATGTATTGCCAATTTGTTCCTATAAATAGAGGCCTAAAACTCAGAGTTTGTACACCAAATAAAAGTACCAAAAGTTATATAAGAGTGAAAGTGAGAATAAGTAATAGAAACTTTGGAGAAGTGAAGAATTTGAAGTAAAAAATCGTTTTTACTCTAGCAAGAAGGAGGTAATTTACTTATCTTAAAGTTACATGCTTAAGTTCATGTTTTGATAATGAGTTTACATGTTTATAAGTATGTATATCATGATGTAGAAGTTAAGTTTATAATTGATTCTATGAATATAAAGTGTTAAAGTTGTTCAAGATCAATTATATGATATATGTGCTTGATTTGATGAGATGTTGATAAAGATATGAATAAGCTGGAGAAGTATGATTTAAATGAATGATTCTTATGTGAAAGAGGAGTCCATGAGAACAAGAATTAAGTGATTTGGCAAAGTATAGCTTGAGTTATGAATTTTTGAAGATGAACATGTAAGATGAAGTTTATGTTCACTA